AGACTTTCAGACTCCCAGAAGCCCAGCCGCTCCACCTCGACCCAGCCATGCTCCTCCTCTCACTCAAGCTCAGCCAGTCTACAGGCGCCCACGCACCCGCACATCCAACTCCGTCCACACAAATGCACACACGCACACACACACACACACACATACAAACATACCGTTGATGCATAGACAAGTGAAGAGATTAGCATGCGTATGGCAAAAAAAATGTAACCAAAGCTCATATAGTCCATTCACAGGCACATGCAACAGCAAAGCGTGCACACAACTTTCGACTCCTCAACGTGTGTTTGTGTGATTCGCATGTTGCAAAAGTGTGCTGCACTGACTTAGTCGTCGGGGCCTTCTCACTATTCGTCGTGGGTGCGGCTGCGGCTCCGTACAACTCCGCTCGAGGGTGGTTCTTCACTTGCGTCTCCTCCACTCCCGACGGACCTGGTGCCCGACTCAGGCATCGCTGCGCACCACTCGCCCGCCCCCTGCGCGGCGGTGAAGACGACGCCGACGGAGCTCGAACCCGCGCCTCGCTCCCGAGAGGAACGGCCCGAGAAGCGAGTCGTGGAGACGGCGGTGACGACGGCGACGGCGACGGGACGGCTTCGTCCGTCCGAGCGGACGCAGAATGATCGGGTCTTGGCGCACGAGTTCCGGCGCCTCAGCGTGCCGCCAGCCATGCTCGAGCCCCTCGGCGACTCGAAGCGCCGGCCGGAGCTGGCGGCCGACCAGCACTTGCGTCGGCGTCGGGCCGCCAGGCCGCAGCGTGTCGGCTCCGCGTCTCCGGGGCGCCGCATTCGCCGGCCGCAACTCGAGTCCCGCCGCCGAGCACCGCCCTCGGGCCGGCCGGAGCCGCTGTCGTCGAGCGCCTGGCCCGGCGGCAGAGCGCCGCGGGACACGGCCCTCTTCAGCCGGCGCTTCCGACTGCCCGACGGGCGGATGGATCCGTCGTTTCGCGTCTTTCTGGCCGGCGGCCAGACCGAGTCGGCCGGTCGGCTGGTCGTCGAGGGCAGGCTGGCTGGGACGGAGAGTTCAGGGCGCGTCGCGAGGAGAGTACACTTCTCGGAGGTGAGAAGTGGGAGGCGACCGCGGCGTGGATGTAGCTCGCCTCCGACCAACACTCGCTTGCATGTTTTGCCCAGTTGTCCGGTTACTACGGACATTGTTGGCCAAACTGTCGCCGAGACTCGCGCTTTCACGAGGTACCGGGCCCTCTGTGGGCTGGAGGGCAGGCCAACGCATCCTCGTCGCTAGCCTGAAGGACTCGAAGCTGGGATCACTTGACCAGACAAGATGAGATGTATTTTAGGCTTATGAGCAGATGCTCGAGACTACCAGCAAATCACTTACATGAGATGCATTAACCCTCTTTCGGTTGTAAAGTGATGAAGGACTGGTAGTAGAATTGTCTCACAATGATATGAGTAGAGCTGACGTTTCCGTTCAATTTCACATTGACTTGCTTTCCCAAGAGTTGTTCGCGTCCACGGTGGACTGGCTTTATACTTAATTTTTTCTCCAATCATAGCTACAAATTAAAGGTTGGAGTTTTAAAATCTATGA